AACCATTTCTTCATCTCGGCCATGCAGTCGAAGTCGTTTGCGTTTTGGTGTTGCTCGATGTGGATCGTGTTCCCGCCGAGAGCGTTCTGAGAGTTGTCGTGCTGGGAAGGAGGGGGATATGTCGAATGGGAAGGAGGCCAAGTGGGAGGAGGAGGCGGATAGTTGGGGCCAGGGTGATTAGCAGCGTATCCGTAACCGTAACCGTAAGAACCTTGCACAAGTGTTAGAAACGTTCACTAAGAGGACGGAACAGACGCACCATGGCTCATCGACGGCCCACCTCTCAAAGCTCTGATCCGCCGCTCAACGCCTCTCTCCACTGCCCTAGCCTGCACCAAATGTTCGTAAGCTCGATTCACGCCATCTTGTGCTTCACGTTCCCGGAGGTAGTAGAACGGAGCGGCGAAGGTCGGGTAGTGGGCTCGAACGTAGTTCAGATGGTCGACGGCTTGAGATACGGACAATTTTGCGCGTTCCACGTTGATACTTGCCATACCGAGTTCCGTTTCCAGCTGTGTCAACGCGTGGTTGATCTGAGGCAGAAACACTTGAGGGACGGGGAAAGAGTGCCCAATGTTGATCGAGACGTTCTGAGTAGCAGAGGGGTTAGCCATTTGTAGGTGTTTCCTGTCACCCGTTAGAGAGCAAAGAACGTACCTGTGTAATTGGTGAGAAGCACTGTTGCGTCCAGAGACAGCTCACTCATTGTATTCAGGCGCGTTCGCGGAATCAATCTCAGTGCGGTCCCCTACTGACGTTATGCAAATTAGCGGCGGTGCGGTCCCTTGTCCCCTTACTATGTAAGTCACGTGATCCTCCATGTCAACAACACCGCGTTTTACCTTCTTCGATTTTCCCCCCTATGTGTATACCTGCATATTACCGTTTGAAATGCAGGATCAAACCATTATGTGGGGCCAATCTCCCCATAACAATCCCCATTGAGAACGGCTGCTCTATCTCCCTGTCCGTTCTCCCCATGTGCCTCAGCCTGAGACGTAGATCAATATACGTCAACACAACGACGAGGGTTAAGAACCCACCACTGTCCGGGGTTCACAAGTGGAGCGTTGCCTACCAGACCGTTCGGTCCAGCGAATTTGCGCGTCTTTTCCCGTGAAATTCTGTTAGGATTAAGGTTGAACTAGTCAGTCATTCCTCGACATAATTCAGCATTTCATACTCACGAGTACCTGTAACATCCACTCTTCATTTGAACGTTATTCCATCCACCCCCAACAGCTCCTCGACCTCGAGTTGAAGCACTCCATTGTGTCCACACACGTCCCCTGCCTCATTCACCACGCACACTTGCCAAACGCTCTCCAAAAGCCGCCCCAATCCCATCATACATATGCAGAGATCGTTGCCTGTTTGTAGCTTTCCGTCGGCATTGACTTCGTGTGGATTCCAGCCCGTCTCGCATTGATGTGAAGCAGGTTAGAGAACAGAGCAGTGGAGGATCCGTTCCAACGGTGACAGCTCAGGACTGGGGTTGCGATTTGCTTCCGCGTAGCACCGCCCCTCTCGTCATCGTCCGGTTTTTTCGGCCGATAACAAAACGTGGCTAACACATGGTATTTCACTATGTACAAGCCAGACCAAGGTAGCCTGACGGCATTACATTGTCCCCTCCCTCCAGTAACTGTTACGAGAGCACACAGCACTCGTATCCTTTCTTTATGCTTCTGTCAAATCAATGACATCCACATCCGACCACGTCTCAATGCGTCTTTTCTTCTTCCCCGGGCCAAGGTCTTCTCCCTCTGCTTTCTTGCGGCGTGTACAATTCCTTGATGGTACGATGAAGCGGTCTTGAATTTTCATCCTACCCATGGAAGAACGTCCTCCGCCTGCGGTGATTGTTAGAATCGCTGACATCAAAGGTGAAATCTCCCTTCCCTGTCGATTCCTCCATCCTCTCTCCACCAGTTCTAATCCCTACTTTCGTGACACCTTGACGGCCATAGGAAAGACCCATTTTCTTCCCATAACTTTGCCCTACCGTGAAGTTAGGTTGTTTTCCATCCTAACCTTTACCCCTCACCTTCACGTCTGCGGTTCGTGGGACCACATACCGTCTCCCCCTGTGGGGCGTGCTCCAAGATCATCGCCATTCTCTCATATTCCACACCGATGTCGAGCCCACTTGAGGTGCGAACGACGCTCTGCCCCGCTCGAAGCAGCAAAATTGACCCATCTGAGAGATCGAACACATCGTTGGATGCCACATGCTGCCATGCCCAGGCATCTGCCATGTAACATTCGATGTTGTCTTCCTCCATGATCGCCAGTTCCCGGCAGAGATCTGAATGCTCGAACGGCCTGAAATCGCTGTTGGAAGGAACTCTCCACTCAATAGGGGGTAAGAACGGCTGTATGACAGTTAGTATAGCGTTCATACTCCAGCTGAGACAAACTTCACCGAAGACCAGAAAAAAGCTTTAGCTCCGTCTGCCTCGTCTGCAATATCAATCACAGTGCCTTCTTTCTCTCTCTTGGACGCCCTCTTCCGATCGAGTTCCCCTTTTTTCCAGGCGCGGCGTTCTGTTTTCTCGCTCTTCTGTGCCTTCAACGGCGATGACCAGGGCGGTGATGAAGGAGGCAGTGGCGAGGAATGCTCATAGCTGTCCGAAGACATTGGACGGGGAGAGGATGAGACGATACCACGAAGTTTATCGTGTCCCGGACGACTGCAGCCAGGGCAGCATTTAATGCAAGCTAAGAAAGGACAATGACGATTGCCCATCTTGCGACAAGCCGGATTCGAACAATGGATTGCAAAGCCGTTCACTGGGAATAACACCGTCGTCGGGTCTATATTCGGCGCTGTCGCAGTATAGATTGGGGGTGCGGACGTCGCACGACGCCAAGGCACATCCGCCCGCCAATGGGACCAGTGGGAGACGCCACCCTGTTCCCCGTTACACTAATAAACGATGTATTAGTCTTCCCTGCCCCAGTCCTGTTAGGTGTCATAGACTCACCGCCTGGAACGAACGTCCCTTATTGTGTGCCGTAGACGATCTCATGATCCTTGGGTGTATACCACTCCCGCAGACTCTGCACACCTCGTCCGATCGAGGACTTCTGAACAGGACGGGGCGACTGGTGTCATTTGAGGCATGGGGCACCGTGCGTACTTGAGATGAGGGGGTTTCAGTTCCAGAGGATAGTTGTGCTCTGGGTTAACAACGCTGCCCTCCTTATGTACGTTCCAAATCTGGACCCGCGTGCATCCCTTCATCCCCAGTTACTGCACTTATCGTCAGATCAGCTGCGCTTTCCTTCGGCTGGGCCTGGTTACCCACTCACCAACGCAGGCAGGGACCAGTAAGTCTCCTTTCCGAGGTGGATTCCTCGCTCCAAATTCCTCTCACGCTCCATGGGAGTGTTTCGGCACCTCGTCGAGTCAATCACAGGTAAGCCGATGTTGCCAACGTGGCAATATGTGCAGCTCTTCTTCGTTGTACTCGTTTCCATGTAGAGCTAACGACACCGGGACGTTAATCAATAAATCTTTTCGCTTCCCCGTCGAAGACGGCAATTGCTGCGATAACTCACATCGTCCGATTTCAGGGGCCGTGTCTGGTACACGGAGAGCGGGTGCAAAGAATCACTTTGACGCTCGGCTGCGCATAACGATCAGTACGGGCGTGACAAAGAAAAGTTTAGACGGAGCGGACAACGGCGAAAACCCTGACAACCTGTTCCCCTCCAATCGGATGACAGTCCCCAGTTGGCGGCTAGGTCCATTCCCTGGTAAGTAAGCTGGCCGCATCAGGATCGAAAACGCTCCCCGTGCAATCAAGCCGCCTTGACAACTGGAATAGCCTGTATATGTAAGAATCACGCCCTCTCATAGACACTTGAGGGCAATATCGTGCTTCAGTCTGAGATTAATCGAGTGTTCAGATACAGGGAGAAATTCTTCCAACCATACTTCCCCAGTTCGGAAAAGATATGCGCCTGCTTCGCGGCATAAGCAGCCCAACCCGGGTTAGCCGATTGGGAGGACCAGGCGATCGTGGATGCACCCCAGGCCGCACCGTAGTATTCGAAGAACCGTACTACCCGTTTCATCTCGACTTCCAAAAGTTCCACTTCCTCTTGACCCCGTTGTATGGCTGCGTAAGAACGCCACCATGTGACTGAATCCACTGACGGAACGTCTCAGTGCAGCCGCAGTGAATGTGGGCATGGACTGACCAGCATCGCTCCATTTATCCTCTGCGTGGGCCGAAACAGGCCCCTGATCCAAACGTAACCGATGGATCCAATGTATGTTGGGTGACGTCCGCTTAGAACCTGTCTTGGCGTCGAAACGATATTCCAGTTCAATGCCCTCCAGCGGGCGGTATCTCGAATCATCGGCCGACAGCCCTAGAGTCACCATGGCGTTTCTTGCACGTCGATACGTATTTGCATTGCGTTTCACCAAGCGATGCTGAACGTCCATCGTATGGCGTGTTCTCGTCTTCATCCCTGGCGCAGATGCATTTGTACGCATCTTTTCCCGTAAAAAATGTTGCAGCTTCATCGCTTCGATCGTCCGGCTAATTGCTTGTTCTGCTTGTGCCTTTCTTAATGTCATCTCGATGTAAGAAAGTCTTTCCAAGTTCATTGCAGCTCTTGCTTGTGAATCGAAGTTCGACGGCAATCCGATTACCTCATGCTCAGGTAGGCTGTCCACAGAAGTGGTCGGGATGTTGCCTGATATCATCGGCATTTCACGTTGTTGTTGAATGCGCCACGTGTGAAGTAGGGGCAGTAGCCTGGGCCGGAGTCGATCGGCTTCTGTATCGTCTCCGTCCACCCCATCCGTACGCTTCAGTTCATCCAGTGCCTGTTGAACTGCCTGCCTAAGACGAATTGAGTCCTCCACCGAATTCCAAAAAAAGTTTCGCTTACAGACACTCCTCCAATGCAATGCCAAGCTGGATGAAGGAGACAGAGTCTCCCCTCTCTGCCCTTCCTATCGCGGCGGCAATAGACTCCAATGCGGTTTCTTCTTCATCACGCAACCGGTCAGCCGCGTGTCTTTGGGAGGGTACTGACGTTTT